TTTGATTCATGTATTCTCACCCATGATTCATTTTCTTACTTAGATCAAGTGATGGAGAGAGACGTCCACGGCCGGAGACCTCATCACATTTTAGGTCACCAGCATCCAAGAAGCTCTACTGTAACTTCTCCCTTTTTATGTCTTTTTCAATTTTCGATTCATTCAGTGTCACCTATGATGATGTGATTGTATTTCCTGCACAGATCAAGCGATGGAGAGAGACACCCGGGCCCGGAGGACTCATCAATGAAGACATCCCCAGCCTTCAGGAAAGTTCTACAGTAACTTACCCTCCTTTTTTCCCCTTTCTTTTGCATTTCATTATTTGCCCTTTTGATTTTAAATATTAATTACTATATCTATTATTTAACTTGCTATATTTTAAGTTTTTTTCTCATTTTAATAATTTTGGGAACAGAGGCACATTCTGCATTATTAGGCTTGTGTTTTTTCGTTTTGTTTACTTTCACGTTATAATTTCTTTTGTTTTTTTATGTTTTGATGATCCTTCTTTCCTCTTTTATTTAGCACAGGGCATGTTCTTTGTTTTTGTTTCCATTTTTGTTCTGTTCATTCACTAATTTTTGTGTTGAGTTTTAATTTTTTAGAAGGGTCAAGTGATGGAGAGACACGCCCACGGCCGGAGACCTCATCACATTTTAGGTCACCAGCATCCAAGAAGCCCTACTGTAATTTCTCTCCCTTTTTATTTATTTTCTTTATTTGATTCATGTATTCTCACCCATGATTCATTTTCTTACTTAGATCAAGTGATGGAGAGAGACGTCCACGGCCGGAGACCTCATCACATTTTAGGTCACCAGCATCCAAGAAGCTCTACTGTAACTTCTCCCTTTTTATGTCTTTTTCAATTTTCGATTCATTTAGTGTCACCTATGATGATGTGATTGTATTTCCTGCACAGATCAAGCGATGGAGAAAGACACCCGGGCCCGGAGGACTCATCAATGAAGACATCCCCAGCCTCCAGGAAAGTTCAACAGTAACTTACCCTCCTTTTTCCCCTTTCTTTTGCATTTCATTATTTGCCCTTTTGATTTTATATATTAATTACTATATCTTTTATTTAACTTGCTATATTTTAAGTTTTTTTCTTTTTTTAATAATTTTGGGAACAGAGGCACATTTTGCACTATTAGGCTTATTTTCTAAGTGTACCTAATTTGTGTTTTTATTTGTTGTTTCCTCTCCGGTCTTTATGTCTTGTCTGCTTTCCTCGTGCATTTTAATTATCCTCCTCTCCCATTTCCTCTTTTGTTTAGCACAATGCATGTTCTCTTTGATTGTTTTATGTTCATTCACTAATGTTTGTTTTTTGAGTTTTAAGTTTTTAGAAGGATCAAGAGATGGAGAGTGATGTCGATCCACGCCTGGAGGCCTCATCATTGTTTAGGTCGCCAGCATCCAAGAAGCTCTACAGTAATTTCTATTCCCCTTTTTTATTTCCCATTGTCAGTTCATGCATTCTCACCCATGATGTATTTTCTTACACAGATCAAGTGATGGAGAGAGACATTGTCCCACGCCTGGAGGCCTCATCATTGTTTAGGTCGCCAGCATCCAAGAAGCTCTACAGTAATTTCTATTCCCCTTTTTTATTTCCAATAGTCAGTTCATGTATTCTCACCTATGATGTATTTTCTTACACAGATCAAGTGATGGAGATTGACGTCATCCAATGCCTGGAGGCCTCATCATTGTTTAGGTCGCCAGCATCCAAGAAGCTCTACAGTAATTTCTATTCCCCTTTTTTATTTCCAATAGTCAGTTCATGTATTCTCACCCATGATGTATTTTCTTACACAGATCATGTGATGGAGATTGACGTCATCCAATGCCTGGAGGCCTCATCATTGTTTAGGTTGCCAGCATCCAGGAATTTCTACAGTAACTTGCCTTTTTTTCCCCTTTATTTTCAATTTTATTATTTCCGCTTTTGATTTTATCATATTGCTTTATTGTATTTGCTATTTTTCCTTTTTTTTATTGTAGATTGAGTGGTGGAGAGATATGTCATGCCATGCCAGGCTTGTCCTTTACCTTCCATTCTGAGCAGACCCATCTTCTATCACAGAAGTTCTACATCCCTGGAGACCAGTGAGGTTCTTTCGTCCTTTGCGACCTTCCTCGTGGCTGTTTCAAGTATCCTGGACATTATATACCTGCCCTTGGACCTTTATTGGCTTCATCGTCACATGAACCTTCGGTTTGACTCTGTCCCGTGCCAAAACATATTTGAACTCTGCAACACCGTCCAGTGGTGCCTGCACGTGTCTTGACTGTGTGATTTAGTTTGCCTTCTTCAGGTGTGTTTTATGTTGTCACGTTCCATTATCTTTTTTGTAATTTTTTTTCTTGTTTTTACCTGGAAGTGTGGATTTTATTAAATGTATTGTGGGGAAATGTATGTGTCTGTTGTGTTGCCCAATGTTTTTGGGCTCTTCTGATGGGGAATAGATTTGTATTCACCACCGAACCCATGCTGACTGTCATGTTCTTTGTCGTTTCACGCTTCATTTCTGAATGTGGGCCCATTGACCCTGAGCTGCTGTGATCGAGTTTCTTACTTCATGTTATTTATGAATGAATGAATGAAATGAGGATGGATGGAGTGGTCACCTCATCACTGGTCAGATTGTTGTTTGATTTCATTATTTTAATCGAATTCCAGGACGAATTTATGCCTGATTTGGAGCTCAGTTCAACTAAGTGCAATAATTTCTCTCCTCAGTTTCCCTTCTACAAGAAAACGTGACATATTAATGACATGGTGCCACTGAAACAGGAAAAGCTCTGATGTAATTGTGATTGTGTTTTCCCAATCTTGCTTTTGCCCCAGAGTTGTTTCCTCATGTGAAGAAAAATATACGGAGATAAAATAGAGCCCGTGATTAAGTCCCGAGTAGAAATTTCCAGTCAATGTGTTAATTTTCAGATGATGTAAGTGTGTAAGTGGGATGACTACCGTTTGTTGTTTCTTCCATGATTGCAAAGTCCTAAATATCCATATCGTTTTGTATGAATTTCTAGAAGAGAGGGCTGTAATTTCCACTAAGACCGATTTTCATCAATGTTCCCGCCAATGCCACTTTGGTTTCTCTCATTCACGGTTAAAGATTTCCTCCAGTCTTCCAGATAAACGGAACGAATCGGAAATTTCCTCGCCTCCAAGTCAGAATTGAGAAATTCGACGATCCGGAAACCCGGAATTTCCGGAAAACCGGACCATTTTTTCGGTCTACCTGATCCGATCTCTTTTCCATCCTCACTAAAATGATTTTCTAAATTTACCCATACGAAATCTAGAAAATCAGACACTCATCTTCAAAACACCAGTTCATCCAGAGCACTTTATTTCCCCACAAGAGTAGCGATGAGTACATGGTAGGTGCACTATATCGTCCACGGAGAACTCACTCAAGCGAAGAAAGCCTTGACATAGAATGAATCGGTATCTCGAACGCACTGAAACGAGGAAACGGAAACGGACTTAGCAATGGGCAGCGCCTCCTACCGTCTGACGCAATGACTCACCCATAGACACTCGTAATTTTGATTGGACGAGCACTCTCCAACGAATCGATCCTTGCAGGTTCACAGCCGATGTCGTCTTACTTGGGATTCGTTCATGCGACACAGAAATACTCGACGGAAATCGACGACATAACCAAAGAACGGGCACCTGGAAATGGAAAGCACATCGAATTCGTTTCTTTTTTTTTCCGAATTCCCAAAGGCCCGCTTTGGATTCGGGGGAGAACGCGAGATGTTTGCTCATAGTCATTATTCCTACCCTGCTCTCAACTTCACTTTGGGTGTTTCCCTTTTGGGAGATTCTCAGTACTGTGTCAACTTGATAGTCTGGATTGAGAGGCATTTCTATAACACTGCCAGCTTTAGGAAAGTTTCCTTTTGAGAGGGAGAAATGTAAATCTACTCTTTACTCTTCTTTAGAAAAATTTGAAGTTATTGGTTCACACACACCATTTCTTAAACCCGCTTTGCAGAATGGAGGAGCAGGCCGCAAGTCACCTTGGAGACCCATAATGTGGAAGAAAAAAGCCAATCAGATGATAGAAGAATATCTATCACTGACATTCAAGCATTTTCACCCCCCACCTCAGGGTGAGTATATATCGTTCTACAAGATGGACTCCTACTTAAAACAACTAATGAGGGCATGCTTGGACATCAGGGTCTTTAGAAATCTTGCCTTCGGTGAATCTCATTCCCTATCTCCCCATAATATATGCAAGGACTTCATTCAGATATTCCACAGGTGCCTTGCAAATCTTGTAAGTGTAGTGAAATGATGGTCTTTGCATTTTTATCTGTCATAGTCACACTGATGGATGCCAGTAATACCATGTAGCTAAAAGGGGTGATCCCACTGGACCTTGACTTATATGACCTGACCTTATAAGCTTGCCAGAAAATGGGTCCTGGAGCTGAATTCAAGCAGTAAAGAGGTGTTCAATTTCAAGGATGAATATATTCCCATTTGGAATGAATGGGAGAGAAGATATATTATGGTTAGTATATTCATTCCTAATGGTTTCCTGCACTGACTTTTTGTGATACACTAGTCAAAGTTACATCATGTATTATCAGAAACATGAAGAAAATTTGTCAAAAACACTGGATAAGGCAGTGAAGAAATGGCACAGCGAATCTGATGATGACGATGATGGAGACTCCACCACTTTGAGTGAATTGTTTTCATCAGGACTTCTTGGTCTAAGGTTTGTCTTTGCATTAAGTTTATCATATCCACTCTTCCTATCTCAAAGAATCACAGCTCCCAAAAGGAATGGCTGTGTCAATTACACCTTCACCATCATCTGCACCCCTTTGCAGCAGGTGCAACACCACCACCTTGGAAACTATTTTTCCAGCCTGCATTGACCAGGTTATCCAATTCCTGTAGAGGTGTAAGGATGAAGTCAAGAAGTACAAGGATGAGTATATTCAAGATCACAATCAGGTATCTGAGGTTTTGAGGTGCTAAGACCAGGACTGGAATTATGAGGAGGGATTTTTGTGGATTGATCATACCTTTTCTCTTCATCCCCCAGTATCCATGTTTCACCCAGTACATGGTAGCCATCATGAATGACATTCTGAAGTTCTCCAAATGTTTTGGACAGAATTTTGAGAACTTGTCACCAGTTGGAAAAACTCAAAACTGTTGGAATAGTGAGGCTTTAAACTACTGCACTGACAGTGTACCTTGGTATTATTGGTGGTCTTTGCTGGATTCATGGATTAGATATCATTAATTGTTGTTCACAGTCCATAAACAGAGATATTTGACCACATCTTTCTTGTCTGCTGGTGGTGGTCCTAATCCTGGTAAATATCATAAAAGTGGAAAAAACTAACATGCGACATGCTTTTATTTGAATGTTAGGTGCTTTCTTCAACTTTTTCTGATTGGGAATTTATTTTTTGTCACGGAGGACCAGAAGCACATGCATTTTCAGGTATGATTTGTTTCAAATGTAGAAACTGATAGTATTAATCCACTTTGCTGGTTTCATTATTTACTTGCTTGAGCTTTTGTATTCATCCTTGCATTTGGAAAGTTTCACTATTTTCAAAAACCCCATATGCTTCTCTTTTGGGTTTCAACACATACTGATACATATAACTTTGGGATATCTTGCTCGAAAAGAAGGAAGACTTGGTGGAATGAAGATGGAAAAATCCAATCTCTAAATTGCACATGGCAGATTAACCCTTCTGCACATGATGTCCACTTCAGTGAACAGCTATGCTTTTGGCAATAGTTAGGCTTTTCAGCCACCAGGACCCTCAAAACATCTGGTGCATGCAGTTCATTCCAGTGCACATCACTATTCTGTGTTACTTTCTGGCAGTAGGACATGCGAATACAACGGCAGAGTACTATCTGAAATATTAAAGCAATAGTAAAATCCTATTTTTTCTTTGAAAAATTCATGCATTGTCTTTGTCATGTTTAGTTCTGTTATACCTCTATACTATTTTGCATTTTCATGCCAATTATGATCTATGACAGTTAAGTGAATGCCTATACCTTCAATACAAAATTGTTCGCAAGCTTTCCTCTGGAATTCCAGGAGGTACGAGATGACGTAGCAAGGATGCTCCTTGGGGCTATCAATCTGGAGGACATTGCCCATGTCTTCAACAGCAACCAGCTTGATGCTGAAAGTGCAGCAAAGGCTATCTCAGTGATCATGGATACATTTTTCAGCAAATATGATGAACACCTTAGAAAAGAGAACTACATCTCCATTGCTCGCATGATCTTGCACATGAGCATCACTGCCTTGCTGAGCAGGGAGCAGCAGCAGCTAACATCAACCACATGTCTGCCTAAGAGAAAGGAGGACTGGAATGGACTTGGCCATGCAATTACTTCCAAAAGAGGAAAAAGTGGAAGGTTATAAAGAACAAAGCAAATATTTACATGCCTGACAACATGGTGCTTATGCAATCTTGAACATTTTCAGGGGGCTAATAATTTACCTCATTTCTAGAAAGAAGAGTAATTATTAAAGTAAATGTTATGTGAACCAGGGACAACAGACAATCATTTGCCTGATACAAAAGTATATATTTTGCAATTTCATTTCTTTACTTTGAAAAATACCTATATTCTTTCCCTCCTGGAAAATGTAACACTTGCATGTGTCCCCATGTCAGGCTTGTGACAAAGTGGGTTGCGGATACTTCCATATGTAGTAATGAATTCTTGATTTGTGAGTTATGTATCTGAGACCTTTGAAATTCATATTTTTTATTTCATGTAGACAAAGGGGTTCAGATCAGGTGTTCAATGTGATGAATCTCCTTTGAAGAATAGGGAGACTACAAGACTGCAAAAGGAGAATGGGGAGTTGAAGCAAATGGTTGGAAAACTTCAGAAGAACAAAGGTCTTTTTTTCCCCTGTCTTTTTCTTCTGGTTGACTCAGTGATTGATGGAAAAGATCATACTGCATTTATATCCAAGGGGAGTTCCAGGTCCAACAGCACTTTATTTTCCACACAAGCAACAGGTAAGGCAAGAGCAGTGGAGATTTGTATAAATGTTGCTGTAACACTGGGTGACAAATAACCTGAAGATGAAGGGTGGATGAGAGTTCCTCATAGAAGAAAACAAGATGGTGTCAGGTGCTATTATTGCAGCATTGGAACAGTGATGTGTAATCAAATTTCTGGTGAAGGAAGTCCACTGTAGAGTAACATAACAGATTGGTAATGCTGCTCCTCCAGGGCAAATGGTGAACCGTTGGTGTGACATGTTAAAAAATGGGTGTGAATCAGTTACCAATGAGGATTGTGCGTATCCATCAGGAACAACTGTGACACCGCTATTGTGTTCTGGGAAATCTTGGGTGTGATTCATGTGGAATTTCTGAAATGCAGTAACATTGCTGATGCAAAGTACAGGGTCTTGCATAACCTTTTGCTAGGGGGATACATCCTTACATATGGAGTAACAATGGTAAGTAATTTGTCAATGCAAACCTAAAGGTTTGCATTGACAAATTACTTTTCTACATGCATTTCTGTATTCAGGTGATCAACACCTGAATACAGAAATGCATCAGTACTTTGTGTGACTGCCGTTGGCTACAGGTTGGTACAGCCATCAAACAATCAGGGTATGATTTCAGCAAATTTTCAGAAAGTTCTGTTTCATTTTCAAGTTCATAAAGAACATTTTGGAGATTTTGAATCAGAACCTCTTTAGAATTTCAATCCAGACCATGCTCACTAATCATCAGGCTTTCAACTTTGTCCTTCAAAATCGCCCCAAAATGCTCTGCTGCATTAAGATCCAGAGCATTTCTCGGCCATTGTGTCTGCTCAAAGAAATCCATTTCTGAATCTTGGAACAATTGTTGAGTGGAGTTTGCTCAGTGACACGGGACACTGTCATGCAGGTAAACGACTTATGTGGGATCTATCACATTTTCTGGATTCTGAAAAAATGGAATGACATTTTCTGTCAGAATAGATGGCTGATAATAGGCTCCATCCCATGAGGCACCATTTTCTTTGATGACCCACATTGGTTTGATAGCAGTGAAATAAATGCAATGCAATCAGTTTTCTTGGAAATCTGTTGATAATACTCATCAATTTTGATGTCCTCCAGAGAAAGAGACCACACTCTGTCATTTTGATAATTGGGTCAAGGAACAGTCCAAATGAAGAATTCATCCGTCCAAATGAAGAATTCATCACTCGGAGCAAGGTGCATGAAGTCATTTTCATACTACAGACACAAATAATCACAAAACCATAGCTGATTTTCAGTGCTGGTTGCAGATTTCATTGGCTCTGGAGTCACATGAAAAGCCTTAATTTCTTTCTTGATACGTCATTGTTGTATTGTTTATGGATTAATAATCTTTCCAAGCCTCTCTGAGATGTCTTTTGCTACCCGACTGTAGCTTCGACTTTTCCCACTGTTTTCCATCACAATGTTTCTGCTCTCCTGAGAAAATTTTTCCAGCCTGCTGTCATCAAATTTTGTAAAATGAAATTCGTATCCTTTTTTTCCAGTTGTCAGTAACCCATCTTTCACTGCAATGCAGTTTTTGAGCAATCCACTTTCAATTGATGAACATTGCACCTGCTTTCATTGCTTCTCGAAAGGCATTTACTCGGAAACAGTCTATCACATGTTGTCCTTCGTCATCGCCAACAACACCATTCATTTTCTTTTTCAATGACTAATCTGAAACCTAAACAAAATTAACTTTTATAATACATATAACACTCATATTTTTGATACTCCGTAATTGCTGTATCCCCCAAGCAAAATGTTATGCAAGACCGTGAACACCCCCTTACAGTCCAGATCTCTCCCCAGATGACTTCCACATGTTAGGACCGTAAAAAAACATTGGTCTGGGTAGAAATTGAAAACAGATGAAGAGATGCAGAGTTGCATCCCCCATTGACTCCAACACCAACTTTAAGACCTTTCCACTAAAGGCATACAAACTCCATCCCACAGATGGGAGAAGTGTACATGTGTAAAGGTGGAATACATTGGAAATTAGACAAACTTTCATGGATGTATCTCTTCTTGGGGCTTCTGTGTAAAATAAAGTGCCATTGGACCTTGAACTCCCTTCATACATATGCTTTCAGAACTGGAGATGATGCTCCAGAGGAACTTGGAAACTATACCTGTTACCATCAAAGAGACAATTTGAGAGTAGCTTACATCTGTTCTAAACCAAAGGTACTTTACAATATTTTCATGCAGGGTGTCGCAAAGATGTTGTCCTTTGTTTTAACTTGGATAACTTTTTTTTATTTTCATGCGAACAGCATGGAATTTCTTTGCCTTTTGCAGGAAGCCCTAGACTATATAAATGCATGATGAAATTAACCCTAGAAGATAAAGTTAGATATGCAGCCTGTACTATAACATATGGTAAAGATTTTCAGAGTCATCACTGATTCTGAAGGGAATGTGAAAGAGAGCCACTGAAAGGCAAAGAACATCAACAGGACCAGATATTGTTCTTGATAAGATCCACCCGAGCCCAAAGAAGTCTGTGCAACAGATGTCACATGAATTGGCAACCAGAGGCCCAATAACTTCAAAGTCATTGTCTATCAAGTGCTCAAGTGCGAAATGTTTCATACCTTTTCTTGGTAAGAATCAGTTCCACAATATCAGGTCCTGTTGATGTTCTCTTCCTACAAGAAGGTAGGATATTCTGATGACTTCCAGTTTCCAAAAGTTTTCTTCTCCACCTGTTAATTTGTCACATGGATGGTGGTTCTCTTCCATATACCCTTCTGAATCAGTGATGACTCTCAAACTATGGGCCAGGCTGTGCACATCTAGCTTCATCTTCTAGGGTGAATTCCATCATGCATCATGCATTTATTCAAGGGCTTCCTGTAAAAAACAAAGAAAATCCCATGTAATTTGCATGAAAATCAAAATATGTATCTAACTTCCAACATTAGACTACATTTCTGGGACATCCTGTACAGTGTTTTACCTCTATTTACATATCAACAAAACATTATTACTTTTACTCGCTTATGTTTCCTCGTAGCACAAGTGAAGCAGCTGGCCAATTGTCCTCCTGTTCTCTGCAAGTTCCATACCTCCTGCTCCAACAGTACCAAAACTAGTTGAGAATGGACTGGAGACTGATGTTCTATGCAATGAGGTGTCATTAGGAGCATTTGACAAGTTCAATGAATTGGATGTTTCAGGGCTTGTTGCAAATGAAATTGAAGTCAGTTTTGTGAGCAATTCTGTGAACTATTAGCCTGCTACTGCTCCAAGTGGAGATGTCCCCATTTCTGTGCCCGCACCATATGCTCTTAGTGAGGACCAACTAGTTGAACTGCAGCATTAACAGCATCTATTTGGTCACTACACAGCTAAACTGATGCAAATGAAGTTCACAAGTGAGGAACTGTAGAAGTCCTAGTCTTCTGGCCCAATCTTTGAGAAATGCATGGTTGATGATGTCTGTGAATTATTGAATATGAAATAAATTGCTTTTATTTTTAATCAAAATTTTGAAGTGAAAGTTTACTTACAACAAATGTCACATGCTCTAAGGGTTTTTGGTTGGCTTTAGTGGTTCCTAACTTTGATGCAGTAAAATTTCACTATCTTCATTTTTAATTATTGCCATCCCAATCATTGCCACAAAAAGCAAGAATGAGGAATTGAGCTTTTATTAAATTTAGTTTACCAGCCTGTGCTAGTGTATTGGGAAATGATCTGAGTTTCAAGGTGTAAGATTCACAGAAAAAACTTGCCAAAAACTGTAATTTCAATTAGGGCTATAAGGTCATAGTAATCACTCAAAACATTAACCCAGAAGAACTGTAGGTAAAATGAGGTGAATACGATCAATTTTCTTTTAAAATTTACTGTTAACATTTTTTAAAAGTTAGTTACAACTTCACATATTTGTACCAATGTAAAGAATCTGAATCACACACTTGAAACTTTCAGCATGATTTAGAATTATCATGAAAAAAGAAAGAAAATCCATTGAGTGATCAAATTCACCAATCAAATTTGGGGCAAATTTGATTGTTCCTTGATATTGTTTATAAATCAATAGTTTTCTGAAACTTAATTATGCTAGTTAGATGAGTGATAACTGATCATAAAAATTATTGATGTGCTATTTTATTTCAAGCACCTGTATAGCTGGCTTCAATCCCTTATAGAGGGTTACTTATATACATTTATAAACAAGAGGGACTCTCACTGACATTGGTTGCAAAATGGATTGGAATGAAGCTGAAGATGGATTGGAGACTGATCCTCCATTCAATGAGAAATCATATTGGGACATTCGACAAGTTGCAAGAATTAGATGTTTCAGTGCTTGTTACAAATGAAATTGAAATCAATGTCATGAACCATATTTGACAGTTTTCCAATGGGTTAGCAAGCAATAAGCAAAAATATCCAGTATCTCAGACTTGTTCCAAACATTTTCCTACAAACATAGGAACCCAGCCTCAAGGAAATGTAATTTTTGTAAATGGGGCAAGAAAAGATACTGTCAAATGACAATATTGAATTTTTTCCCATAAATATTGTATAAATTTTTACTTTAAAAAAATGGTGGACCAAGAAAGACCTTGATTTGACCCCAGAGTGAGACAATGTCCCAGCAAAAATGATACATCATATGTAGCTAGACCTCTCATCCCCTGCAAGTCATAGTGAGCTAATTTCAGGGATGACTGAAAATTTCACACTTTTCTGACTTTATAGGACAGTATCTTTTTTGGCATATGACAGCACTATTCTGCTTCCTCCCAGGGGATGGTAGTTGTATTAGGAATAAAACTGTGGGAAGTTTATATTTTTTAATAGCAGGTTGAAGTGACATGACTGAAAAAGATTTTCTCATGTGTTTCACAAATAGCTATTTCAAGCATTACAAACAAAGTAGCACATGAGATCTACTTGGCTGCAGCAAAGAGTGCATCTGTGGAATTGTGATATTGAGTTGCAAAGATTTGGGATTCAAATCTGTGAAACATCATATACTTCCCTGAAAGACACTGTGCAGAGACGTATTGATTCCTTCCTGCACTACCCATCATTGCCTGACTTGAATAGACACTTGCACAGATGTCTATTCAGACTATCCAGGATAAAATTAATCAGATCTTAACCCATTCACATACCACTTTTTTCTCACTAAGAGTTTCTGTGAAATAAATCTTCCATTTCATTTACACATTCAGTGTCACTCTCACTTGATTCACTGTCAATGTCACTGCCGAAATCCTCATCAGAATCACTATTTATTAGGGTATCTTCCACACCTGTGCCTGCACCATGAGCATTTAGTGAAGCCAAACCAGCATTGCTGCAGTATTATTCGCCTAGCTTTGGTTGCTAGATGTCTAGACTGTTGAGAGATGTGCTCAAACTTGAGGATACATTTGAGAATGTTTTTGGAACAGCGGAAGAGACAGGTGACACGACTATTTAACTGGATTAATCCCTATTAACACAATTATTACGTGAAGGAAACAGGGATTCAACAGACACGCAGTTGAAGTCGAGTCGATTTTGATGGGACCAGCTGAGCCTCGTGTTTCAAGCCTCGTTGTGAGCCAATAATTGATGCAAGACCGAGCTTGTCCCGTCCAACTTGGCAAAAAGAGATTTCTTCAACTGCGTCTCAGTTGAATGCTAGTGTATGGAAGATTCTCCCTTAAATATGTTCCGATATGTTGTCAGCATGATACGACGTACAGACAGCAAACGTTCAGACTGAAACACTAAAGCGCTAGGAATCTAATTCTTTCACATTCTTCTGCTTCAGGTGAACCTAACAATAAAATGCTTCCAGCACACTAACCTAATTAAAACTAGGTTGCTTCAATTGCGAAGGCACCACGCTCTAGGCATCAATAAAAAGTATTCAATAACAGTCTCAAAAGTACCACTGGAGCGAGTAGAGGCAGAACTGGGTCTCCATGCAAGACGTCACAATTTAGCCATGGAGCATCTTCCCATGACTAAGACAGCGGCTTCGCCAGGATCTTGCACTCAGCTGGCCCTAGTGTAGAGAGGATCTCACCATGGTGGGCAGGAGCCATGTGACGGTCCGCCACATGCCAGCAGTACCCTCCATACGTTATGCTCCTATTTAGAAAAAAAAAGTAATGAAAATCGCAGTCTAGACAGTTAAAAATTGCACGTTCCTGGTACCCCCATGGATACTGATGCAAACACAATCATGAGGAATTTGTTATGGAAAGGAAAAGTAGGTTTCTGAGGAAATATAATAAAATCATTATTATGACTGAAATAAAAAAAAAACAAATACCCTGACAGCAAAGAAGTACGTCGGTCATCGTCGATTTTGACGCTATAACGCAAGTGGTGCTGCATCTAATGAACTTATTTGCCATAATACTGAAATTTCTGAAGGTCAAATTGACAAAATGAATGTGTAGTTTACAAAATCGAGGATTTAAGTGGGAAAATTGATGGACAGATCGCAGCTCGCGATGGGGAAGCTGCAAAGGGGGATTGCCTATTGTGCCTATTATGCTTGTTTTAACCCATAACCACTTCGCAAAATTTATTGCATTTTGCATTATCTTTATGGACTTTTTCTCCTCTTTCGTTTGAGCTACAAGCTTTCTCTACTGCCACTAAAATCTCACAACAGGTATTTTAAGCCATGGATAATTTTCGCACTGCAATCGTCAATTTATTCGAAGATGGAAAGCGAATTTCTGAGAACAGCCTCCTGCTCAATGTGTCATGGTCAACCGTCTCCGATGCAGTCAAACGATACCATCAGACTGGGAGCAATGCAGACAGGACAAGAAGTGGTAGTCCGAAATCGGCAAGGACCGTTGCTAACCGAGGAAGCAGCAGAAGCCGAATTCAACGCAATCTACATTGGCCCACAAGAAAACTCAGCAAACTCTCGATGTCCCAAAGAATTCTGCCCAGCGAATACTCAAGGAAGATCTGAAGTTGAAGCCGTACAAAAATAAAAAAAAACGAAAATTGCTAACTGAAGCTATGAAAGCAGCGATTTTCATAGCTGAAACGCAGGTTTGTTCGAAATTTGCATCGTCAAATTGTGTTTTCAGATGAAAAGCTTTTCACGATCGAGCAAGGCCACAATCGACGAAACGACAGAAGCTGGACACCTGAGACAATGTCACTGTGGAAACTCTGGGCTAGATCGTCCACAACTTTCCAAAGAGACTGAGGGAATGTATCAAAGCCAGAGACGCCCACTTCAAATGAATAATGAATCCAGAGAATGAGAGCTTCGATTGCATGGTCGTTTGTCATTATATGTTTGTGATTTTGAATACAAATTGTTGTTTGAAAAAAATCACGAGAACTTTTGGGACACCCTAATAATTTGACCATCGAAATTCTCGAAAATTTATCGAAAGTACCAGTGGAATGAGAAATGTAAATATGAACAAAATCCCACATGGTTGCAGAGAAGTAGCGATATTCTAACGAATGTAAATATATGTTCCAAGTTCTATCGCATTGTATGCCAATGTACCCAAGATAAGCGCGGTACGGTTTGACGCTAGATTTGACGATAGATTAGAGTTTGGCGATATGAAGAGATGTCAAACACGTTGGCGGTATTGTCGCGCGACCAGTGGTCACTGAAATGAGGCTCTGCTTCCGCCATTGAGCATCCATGGCATGAGAATCGAATGGGAGCAGGGTGAAATTTGCAGTGTCAGTGAACTAAAAGCTTGTGTAGAATGGGGAACTGTGTCCGTAAATGGGTTCCCTTGGTGGTTTTTCAGGGTAGAAGTGGTTCAGAATACCGAGGGGGGATCATAGAGGAGAGAGAGAGAATAAGAGAAAGCGAACGGCATACTAACTTCAAGAAAAAACATCCACTGAACATGGACAGAACAGGTGAGTCCAATAATAACGCTGATAATAACGTTTTCACGGTTCTTAAGGGGAACCCTCAAAAAAAGTAATACTTGACGAAATTTTAATTTTAGCTTTAGGACGCTCTAGAAGTATTCCCTGATAATAAAAACTCTCCGGTTCAGAAAAGCCTTCAAAATCCATCATTCCCATTTAATTAGGACCTCTCCAATCTCGGATCAAAGCTTTTGATCTCATTGAATATTTAACTCCGCATAACTCGGCTCAGAACTGTCATAGAGTCATAATTTTTGCACCAACATGCAGCTTTAAATCCTTAATGAAAAATAAATGGAACCTCCTATAATGATGATAAACGCGTTGGATTGGCTATTCCAAAGTACAGGATCAACGAGCGGGTCGACCTCTGACCACCTTACAGTCAGTCAATTTGTAATTTAGCTATCTTTCAATTTTTTTGACAACCAACTTGTCAACTTATTAGTTGGAAGTGCGCATTCCGCATCCTGTTCTATCGCATCCTGTATGCCAATGTGCTCAAGATAAGCGTGGTACGCTTGACGATTGATTATGACGGATGGGGATGAAATGTTATGATTTCCCACACAAACCCCAGCATACAAAAGGTGAAAAGTAGATAACGAAACGATCTGTTTATCAATGACGGGGAGTGGGGCGGGCACTGGACAACGGTTTCGACGCCATCGGGATAACCGAGACTTGGGGAGGTTCTCACATTTCGAATAAGGAATTCGAGATCGAAGGGAACGACATCTTGCGGAAGGATCGGCTCGGCAGAAAGGGGGGAGGAGTCGTATTGTACGCTAAAACTGAACTGGGCGTTCGCGTCAGAGAAGGTCTCACCTCGGCTAACTGTGGAGTAATCGAACACTCATGGTGCGAGGTCGGTGGGGCAACTGGGAAGATCGTGATAGGAATTTGCTATAGGCCCCCTAACTCTTCTCTCGAGGACGAAGCAGCTTATTTAGCACTCGTGCGTAGGATCGGCGAGATCTCGAAGCAGGTATTGCTCTAAGGAGACTTTAACATGCCAAAAATAGA